GCCACCTACTGGCAGTTTTAATTTCACATTTAAAGTATCTTTTCATTTTTTTAAATGAACTGCTGTGATCTGACCACCACACAGAATATGCAGGATATCAAAAACTTTAGGAGTCAGCTGTCCATGGTAGCCCTTAAGATATCAACACAATAACACACTCAGCAAAATAACGTAATAAGTATCATTATCGATAAAATCCCAGAAAATATTGATACATTTTTTGTCAATATCACACACCCCTAATATATTTAACGTTTTGTTTAGAAAAAAATTTAAATAAATATGAGAAGTGCCCTTTTTTCCACTTGAGCCCCTGCCCCTCAAAATGTCTGTGCACGTCCCTGCTTATAAGTATATTATTTCCAGAATAAGTACTCTTTAAAAGTATGCTAAAGTGTGCATTTCTTTCACAAGGTCGTGAATAAACAATGACAGAGTTTTCATTTTAGGTGAACTGTCACTTTTATCTCTTTAAGTGACACAATTGTTGCAGCACTGGGCTTTCTCAGATTCATTAGTTGACATGGATTATTGGTTTTGACAGTATATCCTGCTGTTCATAAGCAGTATTATATAAACACAGGTTCTATTGGCTGGTTTCAAGCCTTTAACCATAAAACACATCTTCGCTTTTGTACTGAACAGGACTATGTCCTGTTCTTGTCTGTGCCTGACAGGTCTATATCCACCTCTGTATGTGCTTCGATGAAATTGCAAGAGTCTCATGGAAGTAAGTCTTTCCAATCGTGTGTTCCTGGATAATCCTTCAAGACTTCACTATTCTGCTGCCATGACAATGAAACAAAATGCACTAACAGAGCTGGCACAGAGCATGCAGAGCCCTTGGGGAGACAGCTCAGTTTTTGACATGTTTCTGAGATGTCTGTAATCCAGTCTGGCAGCTGGCAGCACTCCTAAGCAAGCTAAGTCCACCTTGCATTAGCATACATTTCCTTTGCCACTGAAATCAATATGAACAAAAGGTAATTACTAAGCCATACGCTTAGCGCAGAATGTGCTCATCTGGCTGTGCTGGTTCAGAGGTCTAGAGAATGTTAGATATGGTCTTTGCATAACTTCCTAATAGCCAAACTTGCTAAAGTAATTGTTGATTGGAATAGATCAGTGGCAGCCTGTGTTTAGTGTCTGGGTCTCCAATGTTATTCATGGCCTTAAAGGGAAAGTTCACCCCAAAATGAAAATTCTGCCATCACGAAATTATGTGTGTGTGTGTGTGTGTGTGTGTGTGTGTGTGTGAGACATAAAATATTCCCGGGGTCACGATGTTAGTGATGTCTTTCCAGTCATATTTCTGTTTTACTACCATTATTTCTGTTGTGAAACATAAAAATCACTTTGTTTACAAGTCAAGTGTTACAAAAATAAATATATAAAAAGTCTAACTTACAAAAAGGTTCCATTTGATAGCATTACTTTTAATCTTAGGTCTTGTTCATTTTAACATTAACCAATACATTATTAATATCAAAAGTTGCATCTGTTAATATTATTTAATGGGCTAACATGAACTAACAGTGAATAGTTGTAGTTTTATTAAGTGATGTTAACAAAGTTGAATAAATAATGGAACAAATGTTTTGCTTACTGTTAGTTAATGCATTAACAAACTGTAACTAACACAACCTTACTGTAAAATGTTACCAAGTATAAATAATGCTTAGTTTTAGGGTCAGTGGGAGGTTATTATGTTTTTTTTTTTCTCATAGGCTCAGTGTTTAATCGTCTGAAGTGCTACATTTGCATGAATAATACTAAAAATAAAAAAACACCTTTGTCGACCTCCCTGATCGTAGTCACTCAGGATCAAAGCTTTCCACTCAATGGCCTGAACAGTCAGAAAACTTGGCATGAAGATCTTTTGAGCTTCAAACAAGAAGGAGTGAAACTCAAGAAAGTCAAGTAAGATCTGTTATCAAAAAAGTCAGAAAGATGTGTTATCAAACTAATGTTGCAGCTTGTTTTAAAAACAAAGAACCAGAAATGGACTGTGAAATGACTGCTAATTGCAACGTGGTTGTTCAGTAATGAGAAACACTTAGTCGGTGCCAGACAATGCCACAGTTAAGTGAGCAAAAGAAGGTGAAGCTAATCATGTAATGCTTTTTGCTCTTTATCACTGAGCTCTTAGCATACACCATTTCACACTGGTGGAGTTAAACTTGGAGGGTAAGGACAATTAGTAAAGGGTCTGGTTGATGTAGAGCTCGGCATTCACCATCAGTTAAGGCTCAAAGTCAGATCACAATACAAAGCCAAGGGTATTTTCAAAAGTGTAGACCAGACGGAGAAGACCTATCTGTTCTGTATCAGAGGACATGCTAAGACACGGTTGGTGTCTATGGAAAATAAGCAGTTGTGTTCAGTTCACTATTATATAGGGCTATTCTAGATACCCCACGTATATGTAATTACACCAGCAGAAGATTATAGATTATTTAATGGAAAGTCAGCTGTACAACAAAGCCAATTAATCTGGCATAAATCACATGCAATACTGAATTCCTTAAGATCATTTTAGAAAAGCATCAGGTCGACACATTCCTCCATTGCAGCACACGGAGAGATTTACGGACTGAAATACTTACCCGGTGTTTTAGTGCGTTTAATTAACTTTCCTGGGGCCACCAGCATGAAAAGAGCTGCACAGGTCAGCCGACATTTCCACTGATTATGAGCATAAACGCTTAAAAGCCTCTTTTCAGCAGCTCAATTTAAAAAGCATTAGCAATGCTGCGGATTCCTTCTCCAAAGTTTCCCTAAAACACTCACACCTCGCAAATCTGAGCAAAAATGGTTTAATCGTAATAGTTTTGCCACTAAAATTTCCAATTAAGAACAAATCAACAGTCTTGGTGTAACTCTAAATCAGCAAATTCTGTAAACAAAATTGAATTCAGTTTCTTAAATGTGAATACAAAGTGTAATATATATATATTATGGGTAACGCTTTATTTTAAGGACCAATTCTCACTATTAACTAGCATGCGTATTACTAGCATGTTGACTGTTTACAAAGCACATTAACGCCTTATTCTGCATGACCATATTTTAGATCCCTCACCCCATAAACTTAACAACTAACTTTCTAACTATTAATAAGCAGCAAATTATAAGTTTACTGAGGCAAAGTTCGTAGTTAATAGTTAGTTAATAAAGGGGTCATATGATGTTGCTAAAAAGAACATTATTTTGTGTATTTGGTGTAATGAAATGTGTTTATGCGGTTTAAGGTTCAAAAAACACATTATTTTCCACATACTGTACATTATTGTTTCTCCAGAACTGGTCCTTAAAATAAAGTACATATACACATAAACACATTTGAATATGGATTTGTCATACAAATATACTTTATTCTAAGGTTATGTGGTAAAATATATATTTATATACTTTGACATTTTCATCAGTGTGACTGAAAATCACACTAAGATCAATATATTAATGCAAAATATTGGGTCATATAATATCCTAAAATGCCCTGGTAGAATTACAATAGCGGCATTACATTTTGACACTTTAAAAAACCTGCAAATCTACATTTCATTTGCTCTTTGTGGCTTCCAAAGTAGATTTTTAATCGGAATCTTTTGTTCTATGAAGAACCTTTAACGTCCATTGAATTTTTCCATTGAATAAAAGGTTTTTTATATTGTGGAAAAAAAATTATATTCTTTACACTAAGAAAAATGTTTTTTTTTAAGAGCTGCGCTCTTGAAGGTTCCCGAAATGGTTCTCCTACAGCATCACTGCGTGAACCTCATTTTTGATCCTTAATTTTTAAGAGTGTAATATTGCATTCAAAAATGAAAATGAAAAACAAAAATGTAAGTAATCCTAAGCATATATAAAATTTTACAACTCCCTATCAAACATAAAAATGTCAGTATGTCCAGCAGATAAACCAGAGAGAGTTGATTCAATAGATCCTCTAGACTGGCTCCACAGAGAAGCCGTCTTTGGAGAGAGGACACACGCTGTAACCCACCGGTGTGGAGTATATTCCTACAGGTGCAAAGGGCAGCATATGTCTGCTGAAAGGGAAAGACTGTCCGCACAATAGAGCTGCTGTCTGGGTTTGCGTAGAGAGTGTAAACGGCAGAGTGAGGCTGGGATGTAAGATGGGTTTGCTGGTCATTTTGAGCCTCTCCAGCTCTGCCTCCTGCAGCCGCTTGGCCTTCGCTCTTCGGTTCTGGAACCAGATCTTCACCTGGGTCTCGGTCAGGCTGAGAGAGCTGGAGAATTCGGCGCGTTCTGCGATAGACAGGTATTGCTTCTGACGGAACTTCCGCTCCAGGGCCAAGAGCTGAGCGGTGGTGAAAGGGGTTCGGGGTTTACGGTTTGTCTTGTGCTTTCGGAGAGTGCATGTCGCGGGACTCGGCGGTCCTGTAAAATTAGTTCAGAAATTAGCTTGTAGACTAGTAATAAACAGCTCGGGCAGACGACTAATTTGTTTTAACATTGGACAAACTCATAAAGTACACACACCAGGTCATATCTGCTGTATTCTGTGTCTTTCTCGTTATGCCTGTAAATACTGATTTTGTTTCTTTTTTAATCTTGATGATGCTGTGCTTGTCATTTGGTTTAAGATTTTGTTATCTAAATCCTAAAACTAGATTTTTTTTTTCTTTCAAATTAGCTTTTTTTTTTTATCAGCCTTCTGTTTAGTTTCAATAATTTCACTTTAATGGCAAAGAAAAGGTCATTAGTCAGTTATTGAATGCTTTATTTTAAAAAAATGTGTTATTTTCATAGGAGCCTGTTAAAAATGCTCATTTAAAAGAAAAATGTCAAACGGACTTGGAGGTTTTTGCACCTTAAATCTTCATTTGTGACCCTGGACCACAAAACCAGTCTTAAGTGTCAATTTCTCAAAATTGAGATTTATGCATCATCTGAATAAAAGCTGAATAAATAAGCTTTCCATTGATGTATGGTTTGTTAGGATCGGACAATATTTGGTCGAGATACAACTATTTGAAAATCTGGAATCTGAGGGTGCAAAAAAATCAAAATATTGAGAAAATCATCTTTAAAGTTGTCCAAATGAAGTTCTTAGCAATGCATATTACTAATCAAAAATTAAGTTTGGATATATTTACGGTAGAAAATGTACAACATATATTCATGGAACATGATCTGTACTTAATATCCTAATGATTTTTGGCATAAAAGAAAAATCAATAATTTTGACCCATACAATGTATTTTTGGCTATTGCTACAAATATACCCCAGCGACTTGAGACTGCTTTTGTGCTCCAGGGTCACATATAGGCTATACAATTTAAAATGAAGACCTAGGGTTATTCTGCTAGAATCACTCACTAAAAATCACACTGACACCAGTTGATTGCAAAAATGTCTTAGAAAAGTTAGTTGTGAGAAAGTCTGTAAATGCCACGTTGTTAAATATTTAATATTATGTCATTCAGACATTGTAACGTTATTATTTAAGTGTCCGAATAGTAGTAACTTACGCGGTGATAATCTGGGTTTATTGATCCAGGAAGAGTCCTCTTTGACAGATTCACAGCGTTTGGGGAAATCCACTGACTCTGAATAGATCACTGGATTTATTATGCATGGCATCTGAATCGGTTCGTGTGAAGTTGATTCACTCCGTCCTGCTTTCTTCGACATGAGGGCTTCGACGCTGAACGGGAGACTTTGCGTCCGGACTGAACGCTCCGGCGGAGATGACCGTGAACCCTGACCATCATCTTCTTCATCGGAAGACGTTTTGCCTTTATAATTAGCGGAAATCATTCCGGGGGGGGAATAGCTATAGCTATATTCCACATGGAAACTTGAGAAAGAGCCTGCAGACGCGCTCGCTCTCCGTTGCTTAACTTTTACAATAACTTGACAAAAGTTACAAGACTATCCAAAGTTTGAACCAATCATCGTTCACTCAGAGGCTGCGTCTCAAATCCTAGGGAGGATGACCGTGAACCCTGACCATCATCTTCTTCATCGGAAGACGTGTTGTCTTTATAATTAGCGGAAATCATTCCGGGGGGGGAATAGCTATAGCTATATTCCACATGGAAACTTGAGAAAGAGCCTGCAGACGCGCTCGCTCTCCGTTGCTTAACTTTTACAATAACTTGACAAAAGTTACAAGACTATCCAAAGTTTGAACCAATCATCGTTCACTCAGAGGCTGCGTCTCAAATCCTAGGGAGCCGCCTACTTAGACAGCCTTTTTGGACACCCTGAGACACGGAATGAGTGTTTGTAGGGATGTGAACGCGTGATTGCCTCATCAGGAGATCTGCAGTCAAGTTCCTGAGCCGTTAAATGATAGTCTTCACGGATAAAGAGGTTATATTTAGAGCGAAATGTGGTGTTTATAGTGGGGAAATATATAAGCTAAAATTAGGCTTGAAGTTTTTCTTCAAATTGCTCTCACATCAGTAATTTGTTCATTTTAAGATGCACAATCAAGCTATATAAAATCACTTCACATAGCCACTTTTTTTTGTTTACAATAACCATTTTATAGACTGAGAACAAACTGACTCAATTCAAAGTTGCCTAAAACATTTAGAAAAATATATAGCTGTAGCAATTTATCAAAACCTAAACACAGCAACAGCAAAAAATGAAATATGTTAACATTTGTGACATACATTTGGAGGGGAATAAAGGTTTCGGGCTAGTGTGTAAATTACAGTAATTATATTGTTGTTGCTATTAACAACCTTGTAATTAGGCTGCTGGAATCCGGTTCCTTTTTACCAGGATTTAACCGTAATACCGGAAAATTGCTACCCTCTCAAGGTGTATGGCGCCCACTCATATAGCCCGAGTCTGTCAATTTAAAGGCTATGAACTCTAGTTCACAAGTAATACGCCATGAAATGCACCGAAATTAAAACATAAGCAAACATAATCTTAACTGATGGAAAAGGTTTGTTAGAGAAAACAAAATGTGCATTTAATGTTACGCTCTTTGCACAATTCAGGCTTCTCAGTGATAATTTATCCAAGAAATCTAAACAAATGCAATGCAAAACCAATTTGACATGCAACTCCCCTTTTTCCCACTGCAGGATTTGCATTGCACTGTGGTAATTATTTGATTCCTAGAGAATGCAGAAGTACAAGTCAGTCCTGTCAAAACTAACACTTAAATGTCTCCACCAAGTCTGGGCTCCTGCACCATTATTACAGCTCTCCAGAGGAGTCATACTCTGTAATCGTGACAGGTTTAATTCTGTGGCAAAGGCCTCGGCTTATGGCTTCATTAAGCTTTATGAATCACTGTGTTCGCATCACTTGCGTTCTATACTTAAATGCTTTGGGAATCATTTTAGCATTCACCTTTACATATTCCTCTCTGTAATTAGAGTGCACTCCTGAGGTTAAAAATCAGGGTAATTTGTGTTCCTTTTTAAAGTCGTTTAGATTGTTAAACTACAGAATTGAGTTGAAGAAAATATGTCAGCGAGAACAGCGTATTGTGCTCATTAGTGGAAAAAGAGAAAACGAGAAAATGTCAGGAAGTTCACTTCTGCCAATACTGTCACATAATATGCAATACAAACTCTATGTACAGGGTCAACACTGGAGGGACGTTTAAACAGATAATCCTTGACAAGGATTTGGCTGCTGTGGCCTGTGGCGCTGTAGACAAGGCAGGTTTTTATATAGTATGGGCCAAAAGGAATGATTGGTACAGAATTGCTACAGAGAGCATGGGAAGTCATTGGAAAACCTGTTCAGATATCGGATGACTGTGATTTGATTAAACTAGAAGACATAATTATGTAAAGATCATTTTTTTTCTGTAAAAAAGTATTCATGAAGAACATGCAGTCAATAAGATTTGACATAACCGGCATTGCTTTGTGTTTTTACTTAGAAAGCAATGCTCACACAGATTGGTTTTAATTACTTTTGTATGCAAACCAGATATGAACTAAAAAGCATGACACAAACTATACAACTGGCATGCCAAATAAATGTTCAACATCACACAAGTTTAAATGTCTAGTACTTGCACTGATCGGTTCTTATTTACAACACGCTTTATAGTGGATTTACTTTTTTTTTATTGTTTGGCCCAGATTGCTTTTGAGGGTTACTGAGCAAATGATAGAGAAACAGAGACCAAGCAAAACCATAAACTGCTATTTCAGTCTGAGAATGGGGAAATGAAAACTAATAAAGCTGTGTATTATTTTAGAGAATTCACAGGATAATGTACCATACTAGAACCACTTTAGCCATCATTTCTATTGTTTGCTTTGGCTCGTAACATGACACTGGGCCAATATCGCTGAGAACGACATAAATGTCACACATATTAAGGTTAGAGGAAGTTCTGAATAGTGCTTGGTTTTATAAACAATATATTTTATAAATGAGACATAAACACTAAAGTAATCCTATTAGTTGTACTAATTAAACCATTTAAGGATCATTTTGTACCAGACTGCTGAATTAAAATTGCTTGGGAACATAATTTGCATGTTAGCAAATTAGTTTTTATTTAACCACCACAAGGCAAAGTAAAAAAGTCAAGAACGTCAAGTTACGATTACATTATTAAATTTGAAATTCTGTAAATATAAAAAATTAAAGATTTCAATTTGGACCTCATATAATAAATGTTCGAAACAGTTCGTTTCTCTTCATTAAGCTACACTGAAATGTAAGCAGACCATGATGCACAATTCGTGTCCCTAGAGGCGAAGTATTTGATGAAGCAGACAACCCCACTTTTAGGGTTGAACTGCACTACGGGAACATTCAGTTCATAAATGCAGCACAATATCAAACTTGACCCCATTTTTCAGATTATGTGAAAATACACCAGATGAGGCTCTTCACATGCATGGCTAGCAAGAATGACGTTCAGCACAATTGCACCCTGGATAGTGTTTGTTTGATCGCTTTTTCCAATAGACCCCATGCAATGAAATATGCAGTGCCAGTCAAGAAGGAAGCCACTATACTGTGACTGAACTTGGAAGTGCCGTTGAGTGTGAGTGGTTCACATACTAAATGAAACATGCACAGTGAGCCTAATGTTTCTGACACAGCTGGACTGCCTGTCTGTGTCCCTCTTGGCTATATGGATCCAGGTTCTTATTATACCCTCATCAGCGCTTGCACAATGTAAAGTGCTTGAAGGCTTCTTCCTGACACCGTTCTATTTCCTCAAGGCAATATGCAATTATACCTGTGCATTGGCAGTTAAGATGACAAAACCATTTCTGGGAAAAGTAAGATAATTTCCCTGAGAATCATTTTGGTGTGGCTTCTGAGAATCAGATTTTGAGGAATTCCTTATAGATTTGTGGTATTGTATTTTCTTCACACAAGCAACTGAACCCTGTGGTTGCTTCTATCAGGGACTTTTTTACAACATGTTTTATAATTCAGGAGGTACAGGGAATTTTATTGCTCTCTGTCACATTGTGAATTAAAAGCAGTAAAGCACTGGTTAATGAGATCGCCGTCAGCCAGGGTCACTGGTTCACATCTATTAAATGAAGCATTATTGTCTTAAATTGTAGCTGTATATCATTCACAATCGGGAATTTGGTCGAATTTGGTCCCTTTTTCACACCAAACGATGGCTAAAACCACCCGTTCTGGGTAGATTACTTACTAATTGTAGTCAGTTACAGATTACAAATTATTACATGATGAAATTTAAATCCGTTATGGATTACAAATTAGTTGGTAACATAATCTGGATTACACATATTAGGTAATGTAGTCGGACTACTTTTTGATTACTTTTAGATTACTTTTGACCTAACTCGTTTATCACATAGACTTGAATGTGATTATTGTGTACCATATTGATGAAAAACAACAAAAAACAAAGAGAAAGAAAATATATTTAATTCTTCTTCTTTTTTTTAATCAAAATCAATGTAAACATTACATTGCAGCAGGGTTTCCCAAACTAGGGTTCATGAAAATACTGTATGGTATTCATGAAAAGCTAATAATTAATGAAATCATAAAAATGTCAAAAGCTTGGGAACCCCTACATTACATGAACAGACATTAATAAACATGATATTACATGGCCAAAGTCTCTCAGGTTTTGTCCAGACTTTCAATATTAATAATTAGGTCACTGGATATGATGACGACATAGTATTTCACAGTTATGCATCGACAATGTTTAGTAACTTGCATAATTATTAGTCTCATTTAGATTCATTCAGAAAATAAAATAAAAAAATTAAAAAAAAGAGCTGTGGTGAATCAATAAATTAAGAATAATTTACTGCCATTGTGTGAATATGCAATCATGTAATCCATAAAAAATTAACTGTAATTTAACTGTATTTAAAATGTAATCTAATTACAAGTACTTCATTTTTGGAATCTGATTACGTAATCCAGATTACATGTAATCAGTTACTAGTACTACCCAGCACTGAAGACCACATCCCAGGAGCTGGATGTCCTGCGTTTCTCCTTCATTATACAGACTTGACTTGACAACATGATTACTATATCTCAATTTAAATGTCTGAGGTCATGTTCTCAACATTAGCTTTTCTATTTGATGACTTCTGCCACAAACCCACAACCTGCATAAGCAAGATGTTGAGCTCCTTCTACACTGGGAATGTAATGCAATTTTATTGTGGGTAAAACATTTACTGACACTTGTTTTCTTCTTCAAAAGTCTCCTTTTGTTGCTTTTTGTTGCTTGTTTAAACGTCTACAATCATTTAAGGAAATAGAATAAAATAAAAAATAAGATAAATGTAATCAGTGATGGCCATTCAATATATATATATATATATATATATATATATATAT